TTTTTTCTCCATACCTTCAGATGGCTTAGATCCTAGTTCAATGCTACAGTTCTACATATGAACTATATGTTTACTGTGTGACTGTAAAATAAAGACTTCATTAGGTTGTCCACAGCATTTCCAAATGACTCCATTTTCAAAATATAAGTCTCTCATTGTCACTGGCTCTCCACACTCAGTCTCTATAACCTTAGAAGAAGCAACGTGTTCTTTTACTCCAGTACCAGTCTTAAGTCCTGGCCACTGTACACTCCACACACTGGAATAAATAACTAATGTCAAGACAAGGTCTACTGTATGGTATGTACCATTATTATGTATGTATTATTAATTGTATTGAGTTGTTGGTTAAACGCCCACACAAACCATCACCATAGCAACAGTTGCCATAAGGGATATATGTTAATGTTGGGGAATAGAATTTAGTTCAACTCTAGCATAAAGCATGAGTCTAAAGGTCAACCGCCCACACATTTGATTAAAAATTGACGTTACACTGACCTATTGTAGTATCCTCCTTAAGTAATGTACTGATACATGTGTGTGTATTATTAATTATATTGAGTTGTTGGTTAATGTGTTATTAATAGATATTTAAAGAGCTAAAGGAGAGTGGATATGGACCAGTGACAGTATTCTATTGTGGGTCACCAGTACTGGCTAGAGTATTATCAGTGAAGTCTCAATATTATGGATTTAAATTTAGAAAAGAAAACATTTAGACACTAACAATAATAATGTACTATATACACTGATTTAATAATAATGTCTATTTCCTTAATCATTATATTTACAGTTTCATTTTATTAATTGAAATGACCAAATTTGGTCATAATGCTTACAGCACGTACGTCATACCTACTACAAGTTTTTATAATTATCACTCACAACATTCCTCAGTGACATCATTCCTCAGTGACATGTACTTCCACTTCTGGCTATAGCTAGTAGAGAGACTTCTCCTCCACTGGATAAAGGGATAACAGCTGAATCTACAAAAGTTTTGTCTCTTCATTTTTGTGTACTCTGTGACCTGCTGGTTAATGCTACTACATTGTGATCTCCCAGACTACTACTGACCAGTGTGACCACACTAACCATCATACTGTGTATTAGTATTTTAATAAGGTAAATTTAGTTTGACTATGATATAGTTGACTTATTAAAATTAAATTATTGAAGTTTATGCATAGACTACGTATACATAGTCTCTAATATACAATGTTTCTAGAGGCTGATAATTATTAGTGTATTAGTATTTAATTTCTCTACTTAATTTGTAGTGTCTATAATGTCTATGTTTATAAAGAACATGTACATTAGTCACAATTTTGGTCCAGTCGTAC